CTCTAATTTCTCGCCGTCTCGACTTCGGCATAGAGTGAGCCATCCCTTACTTTCCCGTAAGTGTCGTAAAAGGCAACTAAGGGAGCTTATAATGAAGGGATGGGCAGTAGCATCCCTCTTAAAACAGCTGTGAAAGCCTAACTGCGGTTGCCAACCCGCATGCCAAGCGTGGCAACTATTGGCAAAACTTCTCTTATGGGGAAGGCGTATGTTCAGCAGAGGACAGTTAATTTCTGAAATATAAAATATAGTTATATAATATCTCCAATTTCTAGCAAAGGAATATTTTTTTTTGTAAAATAATTTATATTTTGTATGACCGTTATGGGCTGGTCACATAGCTCAAAGAACCGACAACCGATGGGGAATAAAAATTCTTGAGTGGTGACCCCTTACGGATAAACGTGTGTAAGACAACACCCCAATAAATGGGGGAAAGGAATTGCTAGTAATGGTAATTAGCAACCCTATTGTTAGCAATATACTCTCACAGGTCGACCTCCTAGAATTTCCCCCTTAGTTTTCAGGGGGAGTGATCCATTGGCGAATTTATCACGATATGCTAACTGGACTGCTTTATCTTCACATTTTACTTACTGGTGTCCCGCCAGTGTATACTGATAGCGCAGGCGGGGTTAACATTCAAGTATCATCTATTAAAAAAACACCACTAGATGGAGTGACAACCTCAATGCACTGCAGGGAGTCAGTGGATGCGGATGCTGGTGGCTTAAGAGCACTCCTTATGGCAGTTTACAGAGGAAGGCCTGTGTTTGGCAGTGTGCAAATAAGAACTGTGATGATAATGTTGATGCCCCTTATGGTAAAACTAGAGAATTAAACACTTAAGTAAACGAGATTTACAAATTTTAAAACTGTTTATAGAAACCCATGTGAACAAGCCGCTGAAAAGGTGACAAACATAAAATAATCAAAATATATTTATATATCAGCCTTCAGTTATCTAGTTACGAAAGGTTTATGAGGGAAATTCATAAAATGCGGAATCGGCCCGAGTGTTCTCGTATTCGGGACGCAGCCGGTTGTATTTGATTAAAACTAGTTTGTGCCGGCCAAAGCTGGTTTGTGATACCCACTGTATCTAACGAACGGGCCTTGAAAACTGGCTAGCTGAATAGTTAACAAATGAAGTGGTTTTGAGGTTATGTAAATTTTGTTAATGATTAGTTTGCAATCTACATTGTTACAGGTGAAAATGCATTGATTTTATCCATAAAAGTATTTATTTTATTTATTTATTTACACTTCATTGCACCAAGTAAAAAGAGAAATAACAAATACAGTAAATATTAATGAGAAGTGATACAAAAAGCGACCTTATCGCTAAGGAATCTCTTCCAGACAACCTTTGGGTAGAGGGCATTGAGAAAAAGACAAAGAGTAGGTGGCGCACTATTATGTAAATATTATCATATACAAACATATATACATACATACATACATACATACACATACATATATAATATATACACAATTAAATATTTACATAGCATACACATACTTAATAGCACACATACAACAGAAAAAAATTACGAAGGAAAATTTACTTAGATCTTTTTGTCTAACTTTTTTTTCCATACTTGCACGACACATTTGCATCACAGTTATTGGGTGACAAGCGACTATGATATCTATCCATTTACATTGTATTTCTTGGGGTAGACTATACTTTGTATTTTAATTCGAGGAATGCTCAAGTCACTAGCAGCACATTATTGGTCCTTTCATTGGAAAGTTTACAGCCATAAGTCACTACACTGTGCAAATAAATAAAAATAAATAAACTTACCAGAGGGAGACTTTGTACAAAAGTCGTTTGCTTGGGTACCTCTGTCCCATTCATGTTTCAACCGTAAAGCAGTTGTGTTTGCATAACTGTGTTTCGGTTTGAAGGATGGGATATGGTGGAATTTACAAGATACAGAGGAATAACCTGATTCCTGAGGAATGGCAACGCATGGGGGTATCATGGGCGAAACAGTATACTCCGTTATGTCCATAGTACTGCTCATGTCTATAGGCGGCGATTACCGCTTTCCATCAGGTGGGCCATCAGCTTGTTTGCCATTCTAAGTTGTATACAAAAAAAAAGTTAAAGAATAGAATTTTTGGAAAGATTCTTAAAGAAATTTATCGTACAATATCGCAATTTATTTTTTCTTGTAAATCATATTAGATGTTAAGTTAATTATTAATTATTGTTAATTATTGACTTATATTTGAATATAGATATAGCTTGTCTACGATAACATGGCACGCCCCTCCAAAATCCAAAGAATTAAAAACGTGTAAGAGAAGACATTTGCAAGGTCTCGACCGAGAAGTATAATATTCCTCTGGCCAGATCGCTACCGAAGACGTTTCCTCACAACAAAGAGAGCACTACATCTGTATAAAAAATGTAGGAAAATGTTGGGACACTTGATACGACACGACGAACTTATAAACATTATAATAGAAGGTAAGATAGAAGGAAGGAGGGGAAGGAGACCGAGACATAGTTACATCAGGCAGATCAAGGAAGGAGGTCGTGTCGTATCAAGAGGTGAGGAGACTCGCTGGAAATCGTAGTGAGTGGCAAGAGCTCCACCGACAAGAGAGCAGCTCTTAAATAGGATAGATAGACATCGTATATGGTCACACACATTTAAGTAAAAAGTTGAAGAGGCATGCCGTGTTAAAGTTGATAATCTATACTAAGCTACTAATTTTAAACCAATTTACATGTTTAGGAGCAACGAAATATTGGACTAGAAGATGTACCGACAATTTCCTTTTATACGGATTCTCTACGAGTCTACAAATTGAGGATTATTTGAGGTATGGCTTAAGTTATCAGATCTTTAAATGTGTAGAAAGTTAAATATTACCGAAGATAGACAATTATATAAATTTATTTTCTTTATAGTTTATTTTAATGAAAGAATGGAAGAAGAATGGTATAGATTTCTGTATTTATGGAAAAAAGAGTGCTAAGATTGTATTTATTTCATGAAAGAAATAGACTTCAATTGTTGCAAAACCAGTTTTTAATTTTTTCTATTTAAAAATTAAACTAATAAATCGATTTTGATAAAATCTCTACAAGAATATTCCGTGAGTATTTCCTTTCAGATAAAAAAAGAGTTTTCCAAATTGGTTTACAACTGACGGAGTCATGAGGTAACAAACGTGAATATTGATAAGCAGTGTATTAAAATTTAAAATAATAAATATTTTAATATAATAAATAGAAAAAATAAAGTAATACAAAGTTAGAAGTTAATTATGAAAGACCTAAAGAGTTTTATCGCCTGAATAAACTGTGCGAGCGAACAAAAACTAAGCTTCATTATTTATGACTGTAAATTAAATATTGTTGAAAGAATTCTAAAAGATAATATTCAAATATAAAATCCTATTTAAAAGTTATAATTTTTTTTACAAATATCTAATAAGTAAACACACAGCGTGGCAAATATGCCAATTTAACGTATATGTATTTAATATTTTAGGTTATTTTACAAAAAGTTCAAGTTATTATCAAGTTGCTGAAGTATGTTAAGCTTATATTAACTAAGCTTATATTAACTTTGCTATTTGACTCCTATTAAGATAAAACGACTTAATCTTCAGGTACTAAAGAAAAAGCTTAAGGGAATAATGTTACACTCATCCAATGAACTTTAAATCTTTTACAATATGATAGTTTTTGTCGTATATGTTAAAGTTTGCTGAGAATTTATTAATATTTATTATTTTATATATTTTATATATATATATATATATATATATATATAAACTGACAAATAATAATAAATAACGTTGAAATCTGACCTTTTAACTAATCATACCTAATACTACTCGTATGTATTTATTTTATTTATTTATTTATTTAACACTTTATTGCACCAACATAACATGATTTGTTAAAACAATTTTCAATACGTATAGTGTAGTACAAAAGGCGGTCTTATTGCTAAGCAATCTCTTCCAGACAACCTTTGGGTAGAAAGGATTAAAGCATAAGTAGGTAGGTGGCGCGTTAAAAAAGATAGATATGTAAAAAATAATATTTGTGACAGCATAGTCATATACATATACATACATAAATAAACACATACAACCAAACATATACATATATATACATACACATACACATATAAATATATATACATACATATACATATATATGCATAAATACATACAAATATACCATATTAATACACATATATATAACACACATAAAACTGGAAATACGTAGGACTAAGTGATTATAAGGATAGGTAGTGGGCTTTAACTAAGTTTTTAAAAATGGGCAACGATTGAGCACACCGTATAGAGGTAGGGAGTGAGTTCCACAAACGAACTGCTTGCACGGAAAAGGATTTGGAGTAGAAAGAGGAAGAATGGGTAGGAATTATGAGTTGGAAGTTGTCAGTACTACGTAAAGAATAAGAATTAGAATTGCTCTCTCCAAGAAACATAAAACGTTCTTTTAAATAATGAGGTGAAACTGGATTAAAGAGAATTGAGTAAAGAAGGGAAAGGATGTGCCAGTTACGACGAAGACGGATAGAGAGCCACTTGAGTCGTGTACGATATTGGGATACATGGTCATATTTGCGAAGTCCAAATATGAACCGTATACATAAATTTTGAAGACGCTCAAGTTTATTTAACTGCTCTTCAGTGACATTTGAATAACAGGAATCGGCGTAGTCAAGGATGGGGAGGAGCAATGTATAAGCAAGCGCAATTTTGGTATCCATAGGAAGAACCTTACGCAACCTGTAAAGGGATCCAGTTGCCGCAAACATCCTCCTGCTAATCTCAGCAATCTGAGGTGACCAGGATAAAGTACTATCAAAACAAATGCCGAGATTTTTAACGCGGTCGCTGTAGTTTAACTTCATTCCATTAAAAACTACAGAAGGAAGGTCATTCAAAGCCATTCTGGAAATGTAACTAGGGCTACCTATGATTATAACCTGGGTAGAGATGGGCAATCCACCTGGGTGGGTTTAAAGTCTGGTGGGTAAAAACCGGGTGTTTTGGGTTTATTGGGTTTAAACCCCATAAACACCCAAATTTTTGGGTGTTTATGATTTTGTACTTCATCATCGTCATCTCAGCCGCAAGACGTCCACTATACTGGACATAGACAATATTATTATGCAGCCTACAGAATAAAAAACTTTTAATTTGATTTTGAGTTTATTAAGAAAGAGATGAAAGTAAAATGTAAAACTACAGTCAATCACTGTCAGATTCAGAGTTATTACAAGCGATGAATTGTATAGGTTCGATAGGCTCTATTTCGTCTAAACTGTTATGTTCATTTACTTGCTCAATGAAAGCTTCTAAGGTATTTTCTTCATTAAACTGAATGTCCTCGCATTCAGCTTTATGTTTAAGATTCCAGTTATAACAAATGAATGAAATTTTTTCAGTTCTTTCAGTTGTAAGTCGATTTCTTTTGTTATTATGTATGTAGCCTTGGATACTAAAGGAACGCTCAGTGGCTGCCGAAGTACAGGGAGCTGATAGAATACGAATCGCTACTTTGCTTAACTCAGTGGAACCACAAATACCTTTCCACCATATTAGGGGCTCAATGCTATCTAATGAGCTCCATACAAATCCTCTGGCCCAAAAGTTTTCTTTAGCTTTATAACACGCCAAATCTGCCATTACATTTGACAAACTTAAGTGTTGGCTTAAATTGTAGATAAACTCCATACCCTTAAGTTCTTCCTCTTGAGTAAGTTCGACTCCTAGAGTCCTGGGGTCTAGAATATATGCTGCAAAATGTATTGGCCTCATTGCCATATTGCATCTTGAAGATACTGATGTTAGAATCTGCTGTTTGCTTTCTTCGCTCAATGTCGAAATCTCATTTAATGCAAAACGTATCTTAGCTTGTACATCTCTAAATGTAATGTATGTGCGATGCAAACGATTCTGGTCGCTCTCTAAGTAAAATATGCTTTCAGTGACTGGTTCCAAAATACTTATACATTCCCCTGTCTTCGTCCAGAAATCATCACTTAGAATTAAATCTTTAATATCTCTTGAAATTACCACATCTTCTCTAACTGTTAATATTTGCAAAGCTATCTTATTTGCTTTCAAACTTTTTAACGAAGTAACATGACTTCCCCATCTTGTAGCACAAGGCAATTTTAGTGTTTGTGTAGAATCTTCACCCTGCCTTGATTTTATCAACAAGGAACTTAATCGTTGACTCCTTTTAACAGTTTTTATTATATTTATGGCTTGCATAATAAACACAGTTACTTCTTGTATCTTTACAATATCTTGGCACAACAAGTTAAGGATATGTGCACAGCAACCGAGAGGAACAACATGTGGATATTTGAGTTTTGTTAATTCGAATGCCTTTTGTATATTTCTAGCGTTATCGCCAATAAGTACAAGAAACTTATTTGCTCCATACACTTTCATTACTTTTTCAACTTCTTGGCTAAGGTATTCACTAGTGTGAGGATTACTTTCTGTATTCAAACTTTTAACGTATGCAGGTTGAGGTTTTGATATAAGAAAGTTTATTATTCCTTCATTTCTTAAATTAGACCAGCCATCGCACTGAAGGTGTAAGTAACTACAAGCATTTAGTTCCTCATTTAACTCAAAACGCATTTCTCTATATATTTTATCTAAGTATTTTGTCGCTAAAGCTTTACGTGAAGGTATTTTAAATTTTGGTTGCAATTTTTCGAAAAATTGTATCCATAAAGGATGTTGCACCATCGATAATGGCGTCCCTGTTACAAATATAGCTCTCGCTAATTCTGTTTTTATATGATCATCGGTGTCTTGAAACTCAGCATTTATTGTAGTGTTAGCAGACGACGAGGGGCTTATAAAAGAATCATTTGTCTCTATCTCTGACAGTCCAGACATTTTGGTTTTGGACGAGCTATCTTTTATAAGTTTCATAGAGTCTTTTAATGTTTCTGGAGATTTTGGACAAGTGATAAGATGTTGAAGCATTTTGGCAGCATTACTGAATTTGTAGACCTTATTACAAAGCTTGCAAGAAACAGACTTGTTTGGTAAAGTACGGTAGTGCTCCCATATGCGTAAATCTTTAGGTCTCCCCATTGAACCTAAAAAAATGAACGATGATTAGTTGGTCTGACGAAAATTCAACAATAGAGTGCCTATTTTTTTACAATGATTATTTCTTGTTATTTACAATAAATTTATTAAAAAAATAATAAAATAAATACAAAAAACCTTTGTAAAATTACATCTCCTCGGAGGATTAAACGCAGACGCTAGTTTATTATCGTATTGTTCTGTATTTTTCTCAGCAACTTCTTTAATTCGATTAGGTACTTACGCATATTATGTTAAAAATAAATATCTAGTACACATCTTAGGCTATCCACCATTATTATCCAATGACGACTCTCAGCTAACTATGCACTATCATCCAAAATAAACGTGTATGGAAAATTTTATCCCAGTCGGTTGAGGATTGAGGATAATTGCATCAACATACGAACATACCTACATACTTTTATTTACATAACGCAAGCTAAATAAAAGCTTGTAATAATACATCTAATTTTAAGTTAAAATTGTTAAGTGATCATGATATAATTGTATCATTCAAAAATCCACTTACCTTTAATTATTTCTTGTTAAGTATAAATATTATTTCAAATCTGCTCCCTTAATATGCACTTTTTTACTGCTTTTCCTACCTAACACGTTACCAGGAAGTCACGTTACCAGAGTCAGAGTAATAGTGAACACGTTTGACAGTGATTGTCGTCGCCTCATATTCAGCGTCGACGAATAGGGGAATCCCCAGTCATAATGTATTGCATGCGTGGCGGTCTTACTTCAAATCCATAAACAAAGAGATAATTACAGAACTCGATACTAGATGGCGCTGTTTTTGTTTGAAGAAAGTTTGCGGGCTAAAATACATAGAATTTCATCAATGACTTCCACAAAGAACAACATTTCTGTTTTTTCTAAGTCCGTATCTCTTCCGTATATTTCATAAGATATAAGCTTGGGCTACATTGTTATGCAACGTGATTTTGTCGCTGTCTTGCTAGCAGGGTTGACAGATATACGATTTAAATCGTACTCATACTATTATTTGTCTATTTTTTAATGTACGATCGTAAAGATTATGATCGTAATTCGCACAAAAACATACGACTTTTTGGTTACCTGGCAACATTTTTATTATGAAACGAACATGCTCACATCATCAGTCACATGCAACAATTTATTGGGGATTTCCCCTTCACATCTGGCAGTCCTGCTTGCTAGAATATAGGTAAGTCAGCCACAGTTACTGACGATCGATATTTAAAGGGTATTGTTTTTGTGCTAAATATTTCATAAAAACGTTATTTAATACTTTGTGGATTATTAATTTAGTTGATAATCACTGGAAGTAAAATGGATGCTAATTTGAGAGATCAAGATCTTCGTATAAAACAGTTAATAAAAGAAAATCTACGTAAGTACTCTTTTTATACCTAGGTAGGTAAGGTATAATAAACACAAAAGGTACTTAGATCGCGTGTGTTCGAAGCATTTATTCTAATAAATTTAATTTAAAATTGTAGAAAGAAAAAAATGTCTGCCAAGCCGTAGCCGAAGCCGATCTCCAAATATATTTGGTGATAGTGAGACCCAGTGTCCAGATGATTTACCCAGCGTCGTCGCAACAAAGAAAAACGAGGATAAAGTAAAAGAAAATTTACTGAAAGAAGAAACAAACTGTTCTAAATGCTTAATTTATGGAGAAGAGGATAAAAGAAATGAGTATTTCGGACTGTTAGTGGCTCAAGAATTTAAATATATACGGCCATGTGTGCGAACGAGGTGTTATGAAGAAATTTTAAAGTATCTACGGGAAGCAAAAGGCCAACATGTTGATCAACTGCAACATGAAAACACTGAAAATTAATTACTTTCATTTTATTATATATAGATTTTTAAAATTTCCTGAAATATTATTAGTTAACGTTTTATTTAATATTGTTGAATTGATCAATACAATTTATAAAAATAATTTATTGGTATTACTTACATATTTTCAAAAAAATACGTAAAAACCTATTTTTTTGGGTGATTATGGGAGTTTATGGGTGTTTATTGGGTTTTTACCAAAGCACCGGGTTTAAACCCGGTGCTTTGCCCATCTGTAAACCTGGGTCTTGGTCGGATTTACAGCAAGACCATAGGATTTGCTCCAGACAGATATACGTTCAAGGTCTTCGTTTATTGTATTTACTGCAACAGAAATATTAATACTCGTATGTAGTTACTATTATATGTGTTTTATATGTTTTTGTACATATATATTTATTTATTTACAATTTGTCTATGTTTATTTTATTTATATTCTATTTATCTTATATTTTATATTGTTATGGTACACACACAAAGGAAAAATTGTATTGAGCTTTATGTATTTTTTTAATCATTTATGTTGTATGTTGTAATTTATGTGCTGTAAGTAATACAAATAAATTATCTGTCTATCTATCTTATATACCTTTTCTTCTGCACCTTTCCTGCACTACATTACCCGCTAATTATTTTCTCTTTAACTACATTGGGTTGGCTGGCAGAGATTTCTTTTAGAGATAAGTCCAACCTTGCTAATAAGTGGTTAAATTAATCGCTGTATTTTTATCTTTTTTTTTTTTTTAAGTGCAAAAAGAATATATATATTTCAATCACTGTCTGCTGGGAAAAAAGAGATTGTTAGTAATGGAGACTGAGAATCCCATTGCTAGCAATATACCCAACCAGGGCGACCTCCTCGCGGTTCCCCCTGGAAACCATCATGTCTTTTTTTTTTATTGGTTTAAATGGAATGATGAATTCATCAGAAATGAATTATCTTGATTCATTCCAGATGAATTCATTTTCATAGTTTCCAGTAGGAACCGCGAGGAAGTCGACCTGGTTGGATATATTGCTGACAATGGGATTCTTAGTCCATTACTAACAATCCCTTTCTCCCCAACTATCATAATTCCTAATGAATTCATCATGATGGGCTAACTGGCCTGTTTTCATTCTCATCTATCACCCCTTCACTGGTGCCCCGCCACTGTATCCCGTTAGCGCAGGCGGGGTTACCATACCATTTCACCCATCAAAAAAGAATCACTGTCTACTTAAGTATGTTATTCCCACACATACACACTCATATCGTCATAGTCGTAGAATACTGACGGATCTGACGAATATTACATATATAGATCCGTCAGTATTCTACGACTATGACGATATGGCTGTGTGGGAAAGACATACTTGAGTAGACAGTGACTTTTTTTTAATGACAACGATGATGACGACTATGACGATTTACACATTTTTTTTATACAACTTAGAATGGCAAACAAGCTGACGGCCCACCTGATGGAAAGTAATAACCGTCGCCTACACATACATATGCATTAGAATAGCCTATTGGTAACCGCTTGCGAGTCGTTGTCACGACCGCGTCCTCCTTTGAATTGTGGCAACAGTCGAAAGTTTTAATTGCGTTTACCGGATCTTTGTTGACAATACAGATTATAACATTTATCTGATGGAAGGCGCACTTACTAATTATGAATTTTGTTTGCAATTCCTTCAACATTATTAAGGAAGTTTGAAATCGCCTTAAACATTTCACTTCCTCGAATTATGGGCCGTTGTTCTGATCAACTTGTCCGTATTTATTACTTTTTTATTTAACTAAAACAAATAAACTAACTAATATTGTAAAATGGAAAGCGAATTTGTATGTTTGTCATTTCTTAGCAACTTTGCGATTGAAATTAAGATTTTTTTTTATGCATCTTAGAATGGCATGAGCAGTATCACGAACATAAAAGACTGTATACTGTTTCGCCCATGATACACCCCATGCGTTGATACTCCTGAGGATTCAGGTGTTATTCATCTGTACCCTGTAAATTCACTGCCACATTCCACCCTTCAAACCGAAACACAGCCATGCAAACACAACTGCTATTTTGTACATATGTTTACCAGAGGGAGACTTTGTACAAAAGTCGATTGCTTGGGTACCTCTGTCCCATTCGTGTTTCAACCGTGAAGCAGTTGTGTTGGCATGACTGTGTTTCGGTTTGAAGGGTGGGATATGGCGTGAATTTACTGGGTACAGAGGAGTAACACCTGAGTCCTCAGGAGTGGCAACGCATGGGGAGTATCATGGGCGAAACAGTATACTCTGTTATGTCCATAGTACTGCTCATGTCTATAGGCAACGGTTACCACTTTCCATCAGGTGGGCCGTCAGCTTGTTTGCCATTCTAAGTGGCATAAAAAAAAAAAAAAAAAAAACTGCTTTGCGGTGGAACAGAGATGCCCAAGCAATTGACTTTTATACAAAGTCTCCCTCTGGTAAACATATGTACAAAATACATAGTTATTGTTTAAATCGCAAAGGAATTTGGTATACAATTACTATATGGGTTGGAGAAGAACACAGATTAGCTTTTTATTATTATTTTTATATTTATTATTAAATGGAACGACGGCCTCTAATGCATTGTAGAGAGTCAGTGAATGCAGATGGCTCGGGATCATCCCTTACAGTAGTTTATGAGAGAGGCCTATCTACAGATATGATGGTACTTAAAAAAAGTCTTTGATTAATTTGGAGTAATCACGTCTGAGATACGTATAACCGTATAAAATTGTAAATATATATTAATGAGAATTTTAATACTCTAAAATTGATAAAAAATGTTTAGTCAATTTTGGAGTGAGCAATTATGTCTGAGCACTGAGATCCGAGTTTATTGAACTCTAATTAAATTGTAAATATAATTATCTACGCATTTATGAAAGTTTTATTAAATGTCTAAAATTGACAAAAAAATCTTTCATCCATTTTGAAATCGTCTGTATTTACTGATTTGTAAATAAAATTGTATATTTATAAGAATTAATCTCTGGTATAGACCATGTATTGTATATTTATATGGATAAATTAATGGCCAATATTGTATATGGATACAATATTGGCCATTAATTGTCCACTGCTAAACATAGGCCTCCCCCATAATTTGGGGGGAGGGATTGCCAATAGTTGCCATGTTTGGCAGGCGGATTGATAACCGTAGATAGGCCTTTGGTGATGTTTTAAGAGGGACGCTGCTGCCCATCCCTTAACCACAATTTTTTTAATTTAATTAGTCCCCTCTTACGGCATCCACGGGAAAGAAAGTGTGATTTACTGATCAATTTGGTATAAATAATTATGTCTGACATTCTGTCTGATTGTCTTATTGATCTGTAATTAAAATTATGAACATATATTTGTGAGAATTTTGTTTTTTTTTTTTTTTTTTTTTTTACAACACAGGGGGCAAACGAGCATGCGGCTCACCTGATGGTAAGTGACTACCGCCGCCCATAATCACCCACAACACCTACGGCATTGCAGGTGTGCTGCCGGCCTTTTAAAAAGGAATATGCTCTTTTCTTGAAGGTTATGTTGTCGTATCGGTTCGGAAATACTGCTGCTGGAAGTTGATTCCAAAGAGTGGTTGTGCGTGGAAGAAAGTGCCTTGAAAAACGCACGGTGGAGGACCGCCACTCGTCCAGATGGTTGGGATGAAATTTTAGTTTATGGCGGGTTGTACGATGGTGAAAATCAGCAGCAGGTATCAATCCGAACAATTCTTCAGAGCACTCCCCATGATAAATTCGGTAGAAGATGCACAGAGATGCAACATCTCTACGCAGTTTCAGTGGGTCGAGCCGGACAGTAAGACGCCGATCGTCAACAATTCGAGCTGCCCGACTTTGAATGCGGTCTAATGGAAGGAGTTGGTACTGTGGCGCTCCTGCCCACAGGTGAGAACAGTATTCCATGTGTGGCCTCACTTGAGCTTTATACAGTTTCAGGCGGTTTTCTGGCGTGAAATACCGTCTCACCCTATTGAGCACCCCCAACTTTTTGGAAGCTATCTTAGCTTTTTCCTCCAGATGACCGCAAAACTGGACGTCGCTAGATATATCGACGCCAAGAATCCCCAGACTCGACTTATTATCAAGGGAAGTGCCCTGAAAGTGAGGAGATACGACAAACGGTGTCTTTTTTGCGGTGAACGCGCAGACTTGTGTCTTCTTAGGGTTAAAGTGAACAAGATTGCGTTCACCCCAGATCGAAACTTTATCGAGTGAAGTTTCGATTTCAGACACAAGTCTGTTCCGGAGCTCATCGGTATGTGCCCGCGAGATCTT